CCCACAAATTGTGCCCCTCCAGACTCAGAAGGCACCAGCCACCCCTGCATTCAGCCTCCCTTGCAAAGCATGGGTGCTTGCCCTGCCCCTGGCAGCAGCAGCACCAGGAGAGGAAGGGGCCCTTCCCCCTGGGGCCCAGCTGCGGGGGAGGAGTGGCCCTGTTTCTCCAGACCTGGAGTGGTATCATGGCCCTGCCATGGGCAGAGGGAGGAAAGTGGGGAGTCTGGCCCAGAGCCCTGCTGACCAGGCTCAGGCAGCTGCCCGAGGGTCAGGATTCAAGAGCATTGTACAGAAGAAGGGCTCTGCACGGCCAGTCGCAGACACTGGTAGGCCAGCCCCACCTGCTGCAACTACCACAGGCCACTTTTATATGTGCTGGGGGTGGGGGCACTTTAATTAGAGCAGCTTCATGTGTCATGTATCAGAGTCCCCCACTTAAAAATGGCAGTGAGGGCACCTGAAAAAGTTTGTTTGACAAATTTTAGTTCAGTCGTTCCCACCACCATTTTTAAGCGTGGGGACACTGATACATGAGACACAAGAGCCTGCTGGAGTGCAGCAATTGCCACGCTCCAGCAGACTCGATTAATCTGGAATTCCAGTGCATCGGAGTAGTCTCCCTGCTTGTGTATAGGCAACCCTGGCTCTGTGTGTTATAAATGAAAGAAGAAAAAAAAACCCCAAAACAGCTATTTATGTCAGTAGTTTAAAATGCTTTGCATTATTACTAAATATCGGTTATCAAATCGGCATTAACTGATACGGTTGGTATCAGCTATTGGTATCAGCCAAGAAATCTTTATTGGTGCACCCCTAATGTTGGTTGATAGCTTTCCAAGTTAAAAAAGTTTGCCTGGATTAGGAAAGCCATTTTACCTTTATGCACTAGTTTCTAAACAGGCTGAAGCAGAACCGTAAATAGCATCCAAAATGGATCCAACCTGTTCCATGCCTTTACCACAAAATGAATCTTGATTGCCACATTAGGATTCACTAGCACAAGAGACCAGAAAGAGCCTATTCAATCCTCTTTCAAAGCTAACCAACCTTTGTAGCTGGGTAAACTGAAACATAAGGGTTTCCAAACCTCATGTGAAGAATAACGATCATCTGAAAGGGGATCGAAGAAATTCCCCATTATATGCAGAACTGCAAAAAAGGCCAGACACTTCAGAAAGTCCTTCAATCAGTATCAAGTGACTGCTACATTAACAATATCTAGGGGGACAAATTGCCTGTTTTAGGCTAACCATTCTCAAGTTCTCATGGATGGAATGATTTAAAAATACCTTGAATTGTAACTGTTTTTACAAGATGGACTTTTAAGTAGCGTCATGATTCAAACAAGCCATTAGAGAAGGTAAGATTTTAAACAGAGTCCAAAAGCTTAAATAAGGACAGATTTAGGAACGAGAAAGAATTCCAACAAAGGCACTGAACCTAATGCCATGAATGGCCATTGAAATACAATGAGGAGAAGTTTGGATTACAATACGTCACAGAGTAATAAAAGGAACAATTTGCCCTAAAATAACAGTTCTCAAACTGTTTAGACTTGAAACACCACTTGGAAAATGCCAGCCTTAAGCTGTTTCTATTTTTTTGACTGTGGAAAAAATAATGAAGCAATTAATTATTCTATTGTAAAGAACTAAGGAAGACCATGACATATCAGAATGTTCCTTACACTACGGACTCCTATTTGAAATCGCTAGGTTCCCCTTGTGAATCACGTGTAGGCCTCTGCACACCCAATCACACCTATATTGTGCAGCAACACTAAAAGCCTGGTTAAGAATCACTGCCCTAGAACACAGACTTCACACCTCTTCCATTCCTAACTTCTAATTATACAAAAAATTATATTAAAACACACATTTGTAGCCTGGGAAACATCAACACCATTCAGACTCAGAGCAATTGGGCAAGTTACAAACAAGCTCCCCTACACATTCTGAAACTATGCTTCAGTTCCAGACTTCTCCCAAGAAAGTACCAATGTGTGTATTGCTTTCTTCATGAGAAACTATGAAACAACAAAGCTAATTTTCTCAGATGAAACTAAACCATTTTTTCCACGCAGCCCTACAAATTAATAAGACAAATGCATTAACCCAAGGTGACATCTATAAAACTTTTATACTATATATTCTTGAATTGTAAAGCCTACTTAACAATTATTTTTTCCCTTGTTATTTACTTAAGAAAAAGTTGAGACCCTTACCCATACAGGGTATGTTGCAAAGGAGATACTGTCTCCATGATGCCTTAAGTGGAAGTAAGCACATTAGGGAGTAAAAAAATCAAATAAGGTATTTATTACAAGTTGGTTCAGAAAGGATAATTTATAGCTATTAAACTTAATATTTGTTACCCTGTTGTATATGTGCTTAAAGTGCTGGATTGAAGGGCACTTTCAGAAATGCAGAATACTAATTTCCAAGTAGATATCTATTCAAAATCTGAAATTCTGCTAACAGTTAACTGAAGTAGAGGGGACAAACAGCAGTTTTTATGGCATAAGAGTTTAACGTAAGAACAAGTAACATGGAAGCAAAATCTGAGTTAACTAAGGCTGTTCTAGATTTATTTTTTTATAATCCTAACGAGATCTGGTCATTAGCAGAGTAAATAAATACATTTTAAATTTTTATTTTCTGCTTGGTGGAAAGGACTTAGGCAATTAGCTTTCAGAGGAAAAATCCAATTGCAGGGGGATTTCCTTCTAGTTTTATTGTGTTTTTTTCTACTTGTTACTAAGATTAATTGACCAGTAAACTGAAAGCAAATGAGACAAGTAACTGTTTTTCTTCTCTAAGTATTTCCCCCTGCCTTTCCCCTCCTACATATCCCCACTTTAACCACCCCACCCCCACCTTTTCACCACTTTCTACTGCATGGTCAACCAGGTAACAGTTTTATGGCGCTCAGTGTCTTATATGTCTTGCCTACTCCATCATCTCATTCACCATATCTCCTTCCACTCCCCTACCATATTACATTTCTCATGCCAATCCATAATTGAAGTACTGGCAAATCATTTTTCAAATAAGCTGAAAGTCTACATATGTATACATGCAAACACATGTACAACCACCACCACTATAACTGCTGATAGAAGAAAGGGCAGAGACAAAAATAAGGAACTCTAGGGGGAACCCCATGCAGAGCATTTCTCCAGAGCAACCTAGCAGGAAGCAAACGAGACCCAAGACCACTTTTACTCTTATCCTAAAACGCCCACCAAAAAATGTAATGCGTGTGTGTCACATCGAGGAAAACAAAGTCTTTAAACTTACAAAACAGCTTTACACAGAACACAGTCCTGTCATTTTCATTTTTGCCTGCTTCCTGACCCCATGAACAGACTTGAAAGGACAAACTTTCTCTCTTCCTTTTCCCCCCTTAAGCTTCTCCAATAGCATCCATTAGCACTAACAGCTAACTTCTGTTTCCCTCCCATCTACTTACCAGCGCGCACCACAAAAGCAGTGTGTATTTTAGTAGCATATACAATGTTAGCAGTATTTATATTTAGCATAAATTTGGCATGTATTTTATTAGTATTCACTAATAAACTATATGTAACTATACACATGGTTAGCTGTCCACTAACCATGCAAAGGCTGTAAAGCCAATACAAAATAACTAAGAACTTGTCAAGCCACTTTGGAGATCCCCCCAAAACTATCACATACGTTTTCGTGTCAAGATCCCTTTCCAGGACAAGACTGATGGCAAGCCATCATTCGCTTCTCAACAGGCTCAAGCTCCTGCCCAAGTTACATGGCCTCTCTTAAGGCATGAGACATTACCGTGACAATAAAATGATCTGCCAAAGGTCTCATTCAAGAATGAAAACTGAATGAAAACCACACGTCTTTTTTGCCACAACATATTTCCATTGAATCGGGAAGAGTGGCCACCTGCAGCGCCGACAGCCAACATCTCTGGACAGGCAGCGACAGCTAATTCAGACAGCCAACATCGCCCCCGCACAGGGGCCGGGAGCTCCTTCCAGCCCCCGGGAGAGGCGGAGCCGCTCTGCGGGCGGCCGGGCGGGCTCGCTCCCGGCCTGGCGAGACCACGAAATCCAAGCAAACCGAAACCATGACAGCGACCGACCCGCTGCCCAGCACCAGCTCCCGGCCGCCGGATCGCCTCCCCACGCCGTGGAGGACTGGCGGGGGACGCGCTGCTTCTGCCGTCAGTGAGCCCGGGGGCAGCCCGCGCCGGCAGGACAGGACCGGGCTGGGGCAGGCGGCGCGGGGCAGCGCAGGGAGAACCGGCGGGACCCGGCAGGGCAGGGCTGGGTTATGCTGGGAGCCGGAAGGGAACGGCCCACAGCCCCGGGTGCTCGTCGCCGTCCCCCGCAGGGCGCGCTTCGGCCC